AATTTCAAGTCTATTTGCAAGTCATATTGATATCCAAAAAAAAGGCAATTTGGGGTCGCATCCGTTCTTGAGGAAAAGGAAATGAAACCCGGGTGGTCTCAAAATGGATGTAGGTTTAGTTATGACGAAAATTATTTCTCTTTCTTTTGGCATACGTTTGTTTTCTTAGTTATCTTCTTTCGAATTCAAAAGATTGTAGGACATTTGATCTTGTCCCACCCGTTTGCCATTGGCAATCCAACTTTGAGCTCAAACACCTTGAGGTTGGGCTATCCAATGTAAATAATTCTTGTATCAATCTATAGAGAAAGACTTGGCGCATCCAATGGTACCAAGAATATTTAAATTGGACAACCCAACACCAAGATATGTGAGCTCAAAGTTAGATTGCCAATGGCAAAAAGGGCGGGCGCGTATTAAATGTCCGATAAGCGTTTTTCAACTCACCCAACGCTCCAATTAATCCATTCCAGTTTCCATTGATATCCGTTGATCCAAATGTCCCATCTTCGACTTCAAAATACTCGTAACTGATGTTAATTTGTGAGACAAGTTTCGTCATCAACTCGATGCAATATCCGGTGTAATTTGGACCCGTATTCACATCCGGGAAACGCTCGACGAATGGTGGTTGCTAAAATAGAAAATCTTTGACCAAATCTCGCACAACTTACAATGAGCAAAGCAACTCGATAAAAGTTGAGCTCTCTCACATCGACACCCAATGAACCATAGTAGAGCTGAACGCCGGCCTCAAGTGTCCAATTGGCTAACTGAATTTATATTTTGCAAAAACTACCAAATTTGACATCAAATACCCACCAATTTGTTGTATCTTGCATCCTCCAATCCACGTATTCTATCGATTTTGAAGACTCGGCCAGGTACACTCTAAAAAGCTACTTACAGATATCAAAGTTTACAATAACTTGATAAACAGCTCCATTCGCTGCTTGTACGAATGTTCCATACTCTCGTGGTTGACCATTCAAAAAGAAAGAAAACGGTGAGGTGGCATTGTCATTGGAAACTGGAGAAGTCTCTTGGACACACGAATATCCTTCAGGAATCTGTAAATTTGAGAATTAGAGCAAAATTTGTAAGCAAATAAGCAATTTGTAAGCATGTTTTATACAAAAACCGACCGCTCCTTTTGTATCATTGAGATCTCTCATGATCTGCACCAGGGATGTGGCGGCTGTAAGGAAGAAGGAGATCTCAACCTAAACAAATGGACTTCATAATGAAATTACTTAGAAACTGAAATTATAAGTAAGAGATCACTTTAAAGTGTTAAAAGACGTTTGGCTATTCGCAGATAATCCTTCAAAGGTCCCCATTTTCTAGAACCTTTTGAATTTTGTCAAGCCACAGCTCACCTGATTGTTGCCATTCAATTTATAGGAGAGATCAGCGATGATCTGGTTCTCTTTCAAATACTCGAACATATCTCGAATCCAGAGCTCTTTCCCCGTGTAATATGGACGAATCCAGAAAATCTCCACACTTCGACAATCGTCGCATTTGAATGGAGTGATGTCCTGTAAGCTCTCAATTTTCACCCAATCCCCCTTTTTTTTTACCTTTGTCCACACATAAATGTTTACGGTTCCATTACTGATTTGGTCACTGGCCTGGAATTGGAATATTAAAGTACAGTTCTTCTATTTTAATAGGTTATACTCAAATCTCGGAGGGACATAATGCATTTGAATAAAAAGAAAAAATACTGGCTTGTTTGATTAAATAGCTATTGAATTTGCAATTAGCAATTCAAAAAAAGGGTACTATTGTATTAAACCCCTGTCATTCCCCAATAGGAATAAACCCCCGTCACTCCTCAATGGGATTAGATTACTTGGATTGCTGGCAAGGCTACAACACTAGGGAGATCGAAAACGCCGGCTACACCCATGCAACGGTCAACCATTCGACTAACGTCGTCAATCCACATGATCCGTCTATTCACACCCAAACAATAGAACGATTCTGCGGTTCGGCAAAGTGGCGCAACAAGAAACATAGAGGAACTGCTCGACACCACCTTGCTTCTTACCTCGCCGAGTTTATGGTTCGAATAGAATTTGAATCAAATAATACTCACTCATGGCTTCACAAAGGGCAGCAAAATAGCCGCCAATTACAAATCTTTAAATATTTGTCTTTGTTTGCTGTGAAGATTTTTTAAAACACAAAAGTGACGGGGGTTTATTCCCATTGGAGAACGGTCAAATTTTGGCGGGGGTTTAATGCTATAGTACCCAAAAAAAGTTTACTCCGGCACTCAAATAAGGGTTTTGGTTATGGATTTTGTTTTTGCTCAGGGACTCACCGCATAGACAAACGTCTCAATGCTGGCCGTCTCCCCCAAGAATCAAAATGTTCGGAGAAGCTTTGACCAGTGATGCTACCTAAAATTCAGCTACTTGTGCAAGTCTTTTATCAGCTGTGCATCCTAGATCTATTTTAGTATAGTTTTCAGTATATTTTACTTCCTGCTCCTTTTTCAACAAATGTTTTTTCACGTTTATACTTTTGTTTATCAATTTTTCCTTTGGTTTTCAGTCTTTGCCCGAACTTTTTAAAAAACTACCTACTTCTACATTTTTCGGAAATAATTTCATTCGAAACAACCTGTCCGCTCAGCGACGAATTTGTAGCCATGGGAATAAATGAGGTTTTCACGCCGTTTGCACTGTGCACCTCATCAATCACTTCTTGCCAAGTGGTGAGGTAGGTGCCTGGAATGGGTTTTATAAGTTCAAGCTGTTAGTCAGCATTTCTTAGATTAGAACTTTCAAAAAACCTAAAACAAACCATAAATTGAATCAAAGACAACGGATACACTCCCAGAAATGTTAAACAAGGGAAACAATGGCTCGTAGATGTTTTGAAAAACCGAAATTGGAGAAATCAATGGGATGTAGTTTGGGAGATCGCCCGGTGGAACGACATCTAAAAACTTCAAAATTCAAGAAATTCGTTCTTTTATTTATACCAAATGTACCATTTGGCGACCAGCGTTCCATAAAGATTTGAATGGTCGGAATTTGAGAGTATTGAGCGGCTTGATACACAGTGTTGATAGCTGATTGGGATGTGACAAGACTGATGATACCATTACAGCCAGTTCCAGATGAGATCATTGAGCAAACTGAATGGGAAATATGTTATATAGCATTAGAGTTTTAACAGTAGTACAGTTTTGAGTCTTGTTTTGCCAAAGCTGCACAATTGTACTGCTTTAAGTCTCAATTAAAGAATTAATTAGGCCATTTGGATTAACTTTTTGTCTTTTACCTAGCAATTATCAAATTTCGCAAAGATTTATCTACTTACTAGAGATATTGCTAGGATTAGACACGTTTAAGATGAGATCGGTGATGATGAGATTGCTGTCGAAGCCAAAATGATTGGCCAAGAATTGCACGGAGACATTGATGTGTTCGAGAGCCGCCGAATAGGGAGCATCCGATTCGCGAATCACCACTAAAAAGTTCTATTTCATATATGTACAATTTCACTTTGTTTATTTAAAGTCTTTCTGTCAATATCTCAATCATCTTTATCACTAACCATAAAAGTTCAACCAATTTTCAACACAAACCAACACTTTTCTGTGCTTTTTCTTGTTTTCACTAACTAGGGAAAGTCATCGATTTCCCATCGAGTTTCAAGACGTTATACGTTCAAGACGTTCAAGAGTTTTAGTCTCGTTTTAAAAATCGGTGATAAATCGGCGACTTTCCCTAATAAACAACTAATTTCTCGGATATGTATTTTGGAATTGAAATTGGAGGTGAAACAATGTCAAAAATGAATTATGGAAACTCATTTATCGGGGACTCCATTTATTTTTTTTTGCATGGCCATTTATTGACGCCAGTAAGAAAAAAAAGAAAAGGAACACTACATTATCGATATGGGAAAAGACATTCCCAAGAACTAGAGCGAGAAAATAGAAGAAAAATGTGCCACTTTGATGTTGAAAGAAAGACATTTGGAAAAAATTGCTATAGTTCTGTGATTTGTGCTTGGGTTGGGTACAGACTGAATTTTCGAGGTGAATTTAGTCCAGGAATTTAAAATGAACGAGCTAAGTCTGGAAGAAAGTGATTGAACTTTGGTGTTACTTGGCTAAGAAAGTAAAAAAGAAAGGATTGACGATTATATAAATGACCATGCAACTGTAAAATGCCAGAATACCGTAAATGAAACTTTTGAGTGAAACTGGCACTTTTTCACGACTGGGGCTTGCTCATTTCAACGACAAATGACTAAAATGACTTACAAATATTGTATGAGAAGCCCATCGACGGCATCAATATCAGCAAAACAGCCAAATAGAGCATTTCGCATTCCAATCGTCGTCCACGAAGAGTCATCTTTGAGATGTGATTAGCTGCAGTACAGGTGCATTCTAAAGAAAAATCAGTTTTGCGCAAATTGATGAGAAATATTGAGGGAAGCAGGTATAAAACAAAAGTAATAAAGGTACAAAGCTTGGAGAAAATGCACCCCGAAACGGAATCACAGAACACAGTCATTTAATCAAATCTAAACGGCGAGGAGCGCAAAATATGGTAAAATGGATATTTGGAAGTAAAAGTAAGAATTTCTTATTTCAAGCAGAAAACTTAATCCCTGAAAAAGTTGAAATTTAGCTTATTTGAGAAGAACAGGGTCAAAAATTCAACTAAACACTCAGAAATGTTTTGAAAACTTAAAAAACAAAGGTGATATGAAAGACACGGGTCCGAAGACCAAGAAATTGAAAAGAATTTACCGAATAGTAACGTTTTACGGTTTTATACATCCGAATTCTAGGTCGAAAACTTACCCAAAACGCTAAATCTTTTAACCCAGAAACATGAATGCTAAATGATTTGCCAAAACGAAAGGAATAACAAAACGATTCACGGCTGGATTGAACTGACTGGAGTTTATAGAGAAAAGAGATTTAGTTTTTTAACAATTTTATTGGTGATAGGAAAGACACGGTCTGAAGACCAAGAAAGTGAAAAGAACCAAGAAAAGTACAAAAACTCTAAAACTTTAACAATTTTTAAAAGAAATAGGGCTACTAAGGCAGTTAGCGGGGGGAGGCACTTTTTTTTCTTCAAAACCACTTTTTCTAGGGTAATTTTATGCGTAGATTCCGAAAAACACAACGAGAGCCTGGGAAAAGACGTTTTCAGCCGAGTTTCTGGGGTCCAAAGTGCACGCTCATCAAGTGTGATGAAAAGGATAAACATACCGTAAATACTGTAATAGTACCCCACCCCCATAATGACTGTGCGGAGCGTTGCGTAGTCTAGCTTTGAACGCGTTTTTCTCGACACTGGTTTATGCTACAATGCGCGCTTAGGCATCAAAAAATAGCCCTAAATTTCAGCTATTTTTTGATACCAAAGACGCATTTTTTGAAAGTACGGGTGCTTTGCAAAAAATGAAATATTAAAAAACTTTTGCGACTACGCGACTGTACGAGGGCGGTGGGGCACTATTACAGTATTTACGGTAGGGAAAAGGTCTAAAAACCGGCCTTTTAGCGTTTTGCGCACCCGGCCCATTAGCGCACCCTTTTTCGCGTTTTAAAAAAGCTAATATTAACCAATTTCTATTCCAAAAGTTGTTTTCTGGGTAATTTTAGGGTGTAAAATTCAAATTTTGGCATATCAGAGCTCGTGAAATCAATTTGAAAGATAAAAAGGGTAGGTCAAATTACAGAAAATTGTCGATCTTTTCCTATGTATAACTCCGTCCGTTTGCTTTCACAAAGCTCTGATATGTCAAAATTTGGATTTTACGCCTTAAAATTACCCAGAAAAACAACTTTTGGAATTGGTTAATAATAGCTTTTTTAAAACGCGTAAAAAGGTGCGCAAAAAAAGGTCACATTTATTCCACAACCAAAGAATGAACTTTTGAAGGGATGGGACTTCCTTTTATAGGCGAAAAAAGGAGACGCCGTCTCGAGTACGGTAGCTTAGGTGTATTTTAGAATTTACCATTCGAAAGTTGCCAATCCGTACTAGAACTGCGGAAATCGGGGTTTTACTGAAACAAAGCCCAAGCAAGTAGCAAAAGTCAAATAAACCAGCTAGCTATACATCAAAATTCAGCGCTCAAGTGGAATCAGAGACCAGGGTCTTAATGGGAGAAAAAGGCGGTTCGGGAATCAATTTGGTACCACAATATTAGGGTTCAACGGGAGCACAAGTGGGGAGCCTTAGGTGCTTATCGGGGAAAAGAGCTCTCCTACAAAGATTCCGAGAAGAGGGAAAAGCCGCCCCGGAAACCCAATTACCATATTTACATTTTATATGGAGTAGGGTCAGGTTACAGACTCCTTTCACTTACCCACCCCCATCCATTCGTTTCCATCAGAACTCGGTGTTGAAAGAATGGGACGGGTAAGTGTTGGAAGCTTCGGGAAACTTCGGGAAGCTTGTGTATTTCACACTTTTAGGTTTAGATTAAAAATTGGAGATTTTTAAAGAACTTTTACGGTAGTTGGGATTCTTAAAATATGAAAATTGAAGTAAAAATTGAGGATGATTTAGTTACTTAAACAAAATTTTTACTTTTAACTTTTTCTAGGGTAATTTTTATGCGTAGATTCCGAAAAACACAACGAGAGCTTGGGAAAAGACGTTTTCTGTACTGTAGTTACAGTAAAGTAATATCTATCCTAGGCTTTAAACTTGAATAAATCAAAATCTACTTGTATATCTAAATTCTTGACAATCAATAAGTACAGCTGTATTAGCTGTGTGTGAATTTTTGTCAAGCAGGTGTCTTTAGATTACTGTTTTCTGTCTCTATTGCATTTTCAACGAGAGAAAAATAAAAGTTTTAGATAACTCAATAAAGCATTGAAGTGATTGAATTAGCAAAAAAATGTGTGCGGCTCAAGAAAACAATTTTTATCCAAGTGAAATGAAAGCTCTCAAAAGGGGGAACTATACTCTTTCTTCGTTGGGTTTAGAACTATACTCTTCGTTATTATTCTTAGTGTTTAATGAAAACTAGCTAAAAGTGTATGTTTTCATTAGTCAATTTTAGTCATTAGTCAATTTCATTAGTCATGTTTTCATTAGTCAACACTCAAAGTTTAGTCCGTCAGAAGGGATTTGTTTGCAATAGTGAGCCCAAATTCACATATTAACAATCCATAAGCTAGTCAGTCTTGAAAAGATATAAAAAGTTGTTCTAAATGAAAAGTTGACCTTTCTAAGCCACATCAAAATACACTTCTTTTAGCCGAAAAACTTTGAATCTAAAGATCACCACAAAAAAACGAAAAACCTTTTTCGTTTTTGAGCGACATTTGTTGAACTTTTCTCTTTTTCTTTCAAATTCTCATCTAGATACTCACAAAAATTTTTTCATATGTAAATATGCACAGAAACTCGAGAAATTCGACCTCAATCCGATCAAAAAAAGGCAATGCATTCGAAAATGTTCTCAAAAATCTTTCACAGATTCAATTACTCTCACGTGGCACTTAAAAAAAGGGATAAGTTCTCCATGTTTGCATGTTTTCCTATTGTTTACTAAAGCAATGAATCCAAAAGTTGAATAAGTTTGAAGTTTGAAAGGGATAATTTTGAAAAAACGAAACAGCAAACAAAATTCAATAAATTTTCAGCTCTCCAAATGTTTTCCGAATAATTTTCCCACGAAAATTTGAGCTAAATGATGTAAAAAGTCTGGAAATTTGGGTGTTCAGCGCTGAAAATTTAACAAGTTATACGAAATAGAGCCAGCTTATTTTCTCGTTTTCATTTTTCTCAAATAGATTCACAATTTGTACCCTAATACTCTCAATATCGAGTTTCTTCTTCAGCAACTTCATTGAAGCATTCCGATCTTTTACCTCTTTCTCTCTCCATTACACTCCATTCAAGGTCAACAAATGACATCACAATGAATGAAGTGAAAACGAAGAGAGCAAATTGCCATGTTTAGAGAATTTTTGCTGGTTTCTTGTTTACTTTTCGGGTTCTCAAGCTATTCAATCACACAATTCGACACTCTTTGGATCAATGCGTTGAAGTCGACGGCACAAGCGTATTATAATAGGTTGAGTGAAATGCTGGGTATCAAAACTTACTGTATAAATCAAATCTTAAGTCTTTAGTTAACTATTTAGTTTAAAAAGCCAAATTTTCAGAATAGTTTCTTTTCAGAGCTTGGTGGAGACGACAACAGGTCGAAGCGGTGAAACATGAAGCGCTCGCGTTAACAACCGTAAGCTTTACGGCTTTTAAGTGTTAAAACTTATAGTTTCAAATCAAAACTGATCAAAGTCAAATATCTTTTAGCAAACGCCCGTTTTGTTTACGATTTATGTGAATCGAACGGCGGCTCTTAAATCCGACGCGCCCGGCATACAAATGAGTCAGATTTACGGGAAACGACAAGATGTTGACGATCTTTTTGATGATTGATTTGAAATAAAACATAGATTTTGATACTTTCGAGATTCAAACTAAAAGAATGATTTCTTTAAACCAAAAAAATGATAAAAATGAACTCAAACAGTAACTGTGAAAAGTCTGATCAAAGTGAAAGACTGTAAGCTGCAAAAGGTGCGTGTTTTAAAACGTATCAATTAAAAAAAATAATCTTGCTGTAATTTTAATCTTGCTTAATCCATAATCTTGCCGTAATTTCCTTAAATTTATCTATTTATCTACAGGGTGCGCCAAAAGTTCCCGTTCGCCAAAAGTTAATTACTTAAGATCCGCAATCTTCCTATCGTTATTCCTAAGTCTACAGAAAGAAGTTTTGCAAGGGATAATAAAAGATATACAGGGTGCGCCAAAGTTCCCGTACTTGTATTGCATTTTGGTAATTTTTGACAAAGATACGATTTTAAAAGTAAGAAATTCGAATTCCTCGCGAAAAACCGATTTAAAAAACGTTGCTGGTTAATTTATAAGTGCAAAACAAGTAACTGTGCCCTGTAACTGTGCCCTGTAACTGTGCCCTGTAACTGTGCCCTGTAACTGTGCCCTGTAACTGTGCCCTGTAACTGTGCCCTGTAACTGTGCCCTGTAACTGTGCCCTGTAACTGTGCCCTGTAACTGTGCCCTGTAACTGTGCCCTGTAACTGTGCCCTGTAACTGTGCCCTGTAACTGTGCCCTGTAACTGTGCCCTGTAACTGTGCCCTGTAACTGTGCCCTGTAACTGTGCCCTGTAACTGTGCCCTGTAACTGTGCCCTGTAACTGTGCCCTGTAACTGTGCCCTGTAACTGTGCCCTGTAACTGTGCCCTGTAACTGTGCCCTGTAACTGTGCCCTGTAACTGTGCCCTGTAACTGTGCCCCTGTAACTGTGCCCTGTAACTGTGCCCTGTAACTGTGCCCTGTAACTGTGCCCTGTAACTGTGCCCTGTAACTGTGCCCTGTAACTGTGCCCTGTAACTGTGCCCCTGTAACTGTGCCCCTGTAACTGTGCCCTGTAACTGTGCCCTGTAACTGTGCCCTGTAACTGTGCCCTGTAACTGTGCCCTGTAACTGTGCCCTGTAACTGTGCCCTGTAACTGTGCCCTGTAACTGTGCCCTGTAACTGTGCCCTGTAACTGTGCCCTGTAACTGTGCGACCAAAGCGCCCCTGAGCGAACCCTCTTCTCAATCACTTGTCTTAAATAGCGTTGCACTTATAAATTAACCAGAAACGTTTTCTAAATCAGTTTTTCGCGAGGAATTCTTCGAATTTCTTACTTTTAAAATCGTATCTTTTGCCAAAAATTACCAAAAATGCAATACAAGTACGGGAACTTTTAGCGCTCCCTGTATATCTTTTATTATCCTTGCAAATCTTCTTTCTGTAGGCTTAGGAATAACTATAGAAAGATTGTCGATCTTAAGTAATTAACTTTCTTCTACATATAATATTATAACAATACTTAAAGAGTGTAAGACAAATCCCTTTCTCTATCCCAATTCACTAATCAAATTTCTTTTGAATGAATAGGTCGAGTATTGTCCGTTATCTTATCGAATGATCATTTCCGTCTCCTTTGTCGGGATTTTCTCCAACAAATTGGGTAAGAGGGAAAAGACAAAGAAAAAGAAAAAGAAAAAGAATTGATGAACTGAATCGTGTCAATGTCATTTCCCCTCAAGGCAGTTCATCAAAAAGACTGTGATCAAGAATCAAACTATGTGCAAACAGTAGCAGTTTTGACCAGTTTAGCTCGAATTTTAAGAACAATTTCGATCAAATTCAACTTTTCCCAAAACAAAGCTTCTCATTATTGAAGATTTTGGGTACTTATCGATTACACTTTCCTTTTTTATACAAATTTTCTCAAACGGTATCAAAAAAGTGATAAACTAAACGTTTTTTACTAATAGGTTGATGGCTAGTTGATTATTAGTTGATTATTTTTTGCTATAGCGGAACTTTGCATGATCCCTTGGTCAAAAAGTGTTTTTAATCGAGAGAGCATGCTTTAATCTATATTATAATCTATATTGCTGCTGATTCAGCTGTTTTTGCGTTGATCTTCTTTTTGAATCGAAGTTCTTATGTTTATAAGTCTTCTGACTTTTGTCCAAACTTATATTATAAATAAGAAAAGTATTAGAAATGCTTCAAAAAGATCGGCTTAGATTTGAAAAATGGTCAGTGTAATCGATAGGTACCAGATTTTGCATATAAACAATCAATTCGTTCACTTCCACAAACACATATGGTCAAGTAAAGTTGAACAATAACAATTAAGCTGAACAATATGCGTTCTATAGCTCTCAATAGTAAGCTAATAAGTCGATAGTTTTCCTTTAAATATCAAATCTTGAAAGAGATTTATTGAGTCAAATAAAAATCAAATAATTTTAAAAACTCGATTATTTACTATTCTATTAGACTAATAATGTTTTAAATTAGGAAAATTAACTCAACAAAATCAGTGGATTAGAATATTAAGCTTAGATTATACAATTATAAATGAAAACTTTTCTCAGCAGTCCCTATTAGATAAAGCATTTGAAAGAAAGAGGACGGGCGTTCCCCTCTCTTTCAGTTCTCTTTCAGTTTTCTTTCACTAATCGATTGATCGCATTGAGGTGAAGCCTCCACTATCGACCTCTTTTTGCCTTTCTTTTCTCCTTCCACCAAATAAACTCCATCAAGATCGAATCGGTTCTTTTCTTTTCTTTCTTTCTTTCTTTCTTCCTTTCTCTCTATCTCTCTATCTCTCTCTCTCTCTTTCTTTTTCTCTTTTTCCGAGTCTCGACTGCAAATCACCTCTACAACTGAAACGAGAGCAACGAGAAAAAAAATAAATCCAGTTCTCTTCTGTGAAAAATAGGTAAAAAAAAAGAAGTGTTGTAAAACCGAGATATAATAAAAGTGAGTTTGAATTCCTGGTTCAAATATAAGTTAGCACGTAAGTATGAAAACTTTTCTCTTTCTGAGTTAATGTATAGCTTATTTAAACCATTATCACTTTTCTAGCTGTTAAATTCCTTGATAAAGGGCATCACTTTTTTGAAATCCCCAGCTTTTAAATTACTCTTTACATAAAAATTTTATTTATATAAACAAAAAAAAAGTCTGATCCCTGAAAAGAATGAAAGAAAAATAAGCATAAATATTACAGCAATTCAAAATTTACGATTGATTCATCTTGAATATGTACATCATTTTACAGAAAAACACGAAGTGCTTGATCTTTTGATGATTCATCAGGGCAATACGGGCATTTTAGAAGAGAGTGCCTGAATGCAGTAAGGTTTTTCAGAAGTTTCAACCTGTTTACTTTGAAATAAAGTTACAATATTGTAATTGATGAATGACAAGTTTTGATGGCTGATAAATTTATAAACTGACTAGTCTAGTCAAAAAATTGCTTTATAAATGTTTAATTTCTCCTAAACTTCGTCAAGAATGGTTTCTTAAAGTTGCAATCGCTGAAATGATCGGATTTTTTTGACTTCTCTTTGACATTTCTCGGTTTCTCTTTCCCCTCCAATTCAAAACGACCATTGAATTCTCTTTTTTGAACATTATGATGTAAAAATTGTGAAGGTGAACCAAAGTTTTGTTTTTGTCAAGGGTTGGACATGTCCTTTTATTGGTTTGGGCCAGGAATACGATGGCTAAGATGGCTGGCACCAATGGCTAAGATGGCTGGTACCGGTTGGAATACGATGGCTAAGATGGCTGGCAACCCACTGCCTCCCGCTTACGGGCCGAACACTCTACCAATGAGCTACACCAATCCCATGCTTCCCACTGGATCAGGCTTTATGCCTTACTCTCTTTTCTGAGCTCACCAAATAACCACCAAATTGGAAGTGGCTAAAGGAATAAAGAGTTTTATGAAACGACAAAGAAGATTACAATCTTGACAATGAGAATTATAATGTCTTTTGTAGCTATCAATAACAGTAAGTTTTATATCTACTCATGAAGAGCTAAGATATTGTTTAAATGTTTATCTTGTAGTTGTCAGACATAGTCTAGTCTCCCTTCCTCTCCCTATTTTCAAACTTACTATGTACCCAAGGGATTACTCTACAGCCTGCAAGTTCTCCTCTCCTCGGCTTTCCTTTCTCGAGATCTGAGACCAATGAACGATTCGTTTTTCTTTATGTAACAAGTCCATGTTTGTCCAATCAAAGAACTAATTCAAGAAGATCGGATCTCGGTCATTTGAGATCGATTCTGCACTCATTCCCATTGACCTACAACTCTCAAGTGGGGTCTCAATACTGGAGAGATACGTGAGAATTATTAATTTGAAGTGGGCTAGGTAATCCGGGTCTTTTGACAAGGTTTTCATTGTGAAAGCTATGATATGCAAAACCCAAAGCCAATTCGATTTTCTTGAGCCTTTTCTTGAGATAAAGACCAAAATAAACTAGCCAAAAGATTCTATGCCCCCCGAAAACCCTGGACACAGATTTTTAACATTAAATCTCATTTGGAAATCATTTACAGAACAAAAGAAAAATCTCTGTAAATGGCTTGTTCTTTTAGTGCGGCTGCGTAATCGCTCGCTTTCTGGCAAACATGTTTGGTATATGGTGGTTCCTTTTTCGCTTGAAAAGTCAGCTAAATTTACCTTGAATTTGAAGCCAGTTTCTCTAGAGCATCTTTTGATATGACATGTCCACATCGAAGTCGATACGGTGGATTCCGTTCAGTTGTTTGAACTCGAAGAATCGGACAAGTGAACGTGGAATGGTAGCGTTTCTCGATCTGAAACAATTACAAGTAGAAAAGCCACCTTATAGCGTCTTTCTCTACCAAAACCATTATCTTAAAGTATTGCCTTGTCACCAATCTCCATTTCCTTTTCCTTTAGCCTGCAAAAGTGCCACCCAATCGCCTCTTTACCCCCTTTTTCCAGAAGTGTGCTTTTTCCTTTTTCCCTTTTTTGTACAGAAGTGTGCGTATGTGTGATAATCTGACCGGAATCTCAATGGGCAACTCGTCGCTCGAAAATATTTGGTCTTGTCGCGGCGCCATTACCGATCGCAGATTCAACAGTGCCGGCACCGCTTGGCAGCCGGTTTCGAGGCTGAAATTTTGGGGAAGATTATCCAACAATTTGATACATAAATTTGATACACTAAACACTCACATTTGTGGCAATATCGATTTACATTTGAAGATTACTTCCGAAAGTCGTGACTCGAGTTGTTGCCAAGCGAGTGGGCTTGAGATTTCATTAAAGCGAGTATCATCAGCTTTTGTGAACAGAGCTCCCATAATCTAAAATAGAACAAGTCTTCTAAAAAGTATCTATTTTAGGAAAATAGTCAAATTAGCAGTTTTCAATGAATAAGCCATCAATTTCAGAAAAATATCGTAGTCAAACTGACAGTTTTCAGCTATTAAGCCCAATTTTGGTATCATTGAGTGAGCCTTGTGATTGCTTACAATTGGATTAATTGACTTAAAACTGAAAGGTAAGCTTACCAACTTTTAAGTAAGCTACTTTTACAGGATCCTTAACTGAATATCCGTTAATTATTGGGTTGGTGAATTGAAAACTGCGGGCTATTGTCTGTGACAGTTTGAGCACTTTCTTCAAAAGAAACCCATTTTGGTGTCAATGGAAAAGTTGTAGAGAATCACAAATCAAGCAAATTTTCAGAACGATTCAAAAACTGGTTTTCAAGAAATGCCAAATTTACGAATTTTTACAAAACTTGCATTTTTAAGCGAAACTACTAAGTGTATCTTTTGGAAATTTGGCTATAAGCCTAATTTTTGATTCTCTACAACATTTCTATTGACACCAAAAAGGGTTTCTTTTGAAGAAAGTGCTCAAACTGGGACAACTCCAGTCCTCCATTTTTGAGTCTCACACTTGTCTCACACACAAACCAAAATCCCACGCAGAAAGAGAAATCCGCAAATTGGCTGTAAAATGGGCAGAAGTCGTCAATAATAATGGAAATTATTTGGAATGAATTTATGGTTTTATGTTGAATAAATTTTAGTTCAAAGTCCCGCAGTTTTCAATTCACCAACCCAATATTTTGAAGTTCTGTTTAAAATATCAAAGTTATGACTAAGAATCTTGTACCTGTGCCACTTCTCCATCTGATCCCAATCCGGAGAGTTTCCTCGAGAGTGTAAGCGCTTCCAACTTCTTACCTAAAGCTTTTATTTGAAATTTTTCAAACAAATATTACGAAACACTATAACTCATTGGCGCCAGTTTTTCAGGGTTGATATGAAAGTGTAAGTTTGCACGTGTTTTCACCATTCATTTCTTTTCCATCTTTTCTTTGTTGACAAGTGTTTTGACTGTATTTGTCGTCGAAAATGAATCATGAACACTCTTTTGATTCGAAAATTCCCCGTCTTTACATACAAATGTCTTGGATCATGCCGAAAAATTGGGTAAATGAATCAAGGGAAAGTTTTCTTAAGAAACTTTTTAAAGGTCAATGTTTACTGACATTGATTAGTTACTTAAACTTGATTTGAGTCATTGATCCTTAACTTTAAACTGTTCTAATGTTAAAAATGTATCAATAAGTCAAATACTAAAGTAAAGTCATCAATTTTCATGATTATATGAGTCATTTTGTTGCAAATCTATGAAATCCAACTTTTTGCTATTTTGAGTCCATAGATTTGCAACAAAATGACTCATACAATCATGAAAATTGATGACTTTACTTTAGTATTTGGCTGTTTTTTAGATTTGAAACAGTTGTAGGAAAGTTTATCATAGTTTATCATTCAGAAAAAGTATCTCAATTTTTGTGATAGAACTTAAAGATTTCAAACTAATCTACCGTAAATACTGTAATAGTACCCCACCCCCATAATGACGGTGCGGAGAGTTGCGTAGTCTAGCTTTGAACGAGTTTTTCTCGAGACTGGTTTATGCTACAATGCGCGCTTAGGTATCAAGAATAGCCCTGAATTTCAGCTTTCATTTAATATTTAAAACGAACACTGTAGCATAAACGGGTGGCGAGAAAATGCGTTTAAAGCTAGACTACGCGATGCTCCGACCGTCTCTATCGGGGAGGGGCTACTATTAAAGGTATTACGATATGCTTTTCCTAGTTTAGCTTAACCTTTATCTACTATGATTCAATTTAGAACTATAATTTAAACATACCGTAAATACTGTAATAGTACCCCATCCCCATAATGACGGTGAGGAGAGTTGCGTAGTCTAGCTTTGAACGAGTTTTCTCGAGACTGGTTTATGCTACAATGCGCGTTAGGTATCAAAAAATAGCCCTGAATTTCAGCTATTTTTTGATACCAAAGACGCATTTTTTGAAAGTACGGGTGCTTTGCAAAAAATGAAATACTAAAAAAACATTTGCGACTACACGACTGTACGAGGGGAGTGGGGGTACTATTACAGTATTTACGGTAGGTATTGATTACAGCTATTAGATCAACTGTATAAAACTACAGTATATAAACCCTATAAGAGCTATTCAACAAGTACGAAAGAACTTTCAAAAGAACGCAAAAGAGCCCTTTCCGGAAACGCGGCTGTCTGTTTCCATCGAAAGATTCTACCCCAAGTCCCCTAGTTGAATCAGAAACTCAGCTCCATTCCTCTTTTCCTTGTGTGCAGGGTGTTCGCTTTCCAATCAATTGCCCGATCGGTCCCTGAATCTGTTCCCTTTCCCCTTTCCCCTTCCTCCCCTCAGTCCTTTCCCCTTTTTTCTCCCCCGTTTTTCACCATACCCTGTCCGATTCCCACCCGACTAGAGCTAAATAAAAATTTTTGCGCTCTCCCTCTTTTTGTTTTTTTGGGAAAGTGTACTGTAATCGAGCTGTCTATCACATTTTTCTATTCTAAAGATAGAACAAATTACAGAAAATCGACTCTTTTGGGTCTAAAGATAGACCAAAATCTTGAAGATCTTGAAATTCTCTAAAGATTCTTTAAAGATCCTGAAATCTTGTACCTTGCTTGATCAGCTCTAAGACTTGATGTCGGACGAGGTCAAAGATGAGGCGTTTTTCTTGAGGAGCGTTCAGCTCGATGTAGTTGATCGCCGGGATCGTGTTGTGCTGTCTGAAAAGAAGATTTTGAGCGATTTGAATCCTTAAACCAAGAATAGCTCAAAGCTCTTTCAATTCAAAAATCACTTTCCCAGTTTACCTAAAACTCTCGATCACTTTCCCCACAGTATCCTTGATGGCTGTATACTCGTCCAATCGTCCGTGCAAGTTGCATTCCTGGAAATTTCGAGTCTCCAGGCACACTTCTCTAATCTTTTCTCTTCCATAATTGGCTGATCCGTTTTGTCTACAAGAACGAGATAGGACCTTGATTGAAAGAAAGAGGTAGTTGCCTTCCCCTCACTAGTCCACAGCTCCACAGCTGACAGATCGAGGCGCTGGGAGACGAGATTGGGAGAAGCCCCTCATAGAGAGTTTACACGGAAAAGAAACAGACACAGACATTCCGACCCTTTTTTGCTGACTGTTGAGTGAAATCGATCGATCGGCCGAACGCTTATCGGTGCGGGGCGTGCACAACGGAGACTCTTTGGGGGAGAGTTTTGCGAGGAGAAAAGAAAGAAAAGAAGAGAGACCGAGGACTGACACTTGACCCCGACCATCTCTTTTTCTTTCTCTTTTCCCTCAAACTCGCGCGATCATAAATGCACACTGAGGGATAGAAAGATATTTAGGGGAACGGGATCGCCCTAGGGGCATCCAATTTGCTTGTTGACAAACCTCGACCGGGAAAGGCTAAAGATTGTCTTTATCCACTACAGCGCACACTTCTTTTGGGGTAAGAATTGAAAGAAACGGTAGTGAAAAGAGACAAACAGGTGTACGTGAGTTTTGAGAGGTTTTAGGAGTGAGTATGGGAAGTCTTGAACCAAATTCAAATTCAAAACGAAGCCAAGTCTTGTCTTGTGCGTCAAAATGTGTTTATTGATAACTGACAAACAGAAAGACTGATGTCTGATGCTAAAGTCTCTGAAAGATAAACTGTGCCCTATTTTACTGTAACTGGTTTTGCTGTAACTTTAGTACTAGTTCACTAAAGCCAAATGTTTTGAAAGCTTTAAAAGCCAATCTTTCCTATCGAAACAGTCAATAAAAGCCAAAGAATCAGTTCGAACTTGGCTTAGACTTTAAATAGGCCCCAAGGTTCGATGGGCGTCATGGCCGAGTGGCTAGGAGTCCTGTAACATAATCAAGGGTTCAATCCCACCGACTAGGCAGTTTTTTTCTTCTCTTCATTTAGGGGATACTTGTTTATTGTTTTACCACATTATTTGTGTGAATAAATGTATTTTTAAAGCTTTTTAAAGCTCATTTTTACCTGTACATAGGTTTCAGCAATCTCTGGATGACCAGTGCTCATCAAATAATTCACAATCAGATTCGATACATTTCTTGCGCATTTCGGATCGCTTTCAATATGCTTCTCGTTTTTGATTAAACCACCGGTGGATTCGTGAAAGTTTCTCCCAATATCTTTCCCAATTCGTGAGATCGACGAGTGAATGTTTCGATGGAGTTTTCACGTACTTGTCACCGTGTCATCAACCTGAAATTTGAAATGCAAATTTGTTTCAGTATTCTGGATTCAGAATGCTTTAAGAATTTCCCCCATCTGCCTTTTTTCAACAATTCCAGATCACTTGTGAATTCTAAAGATCAATCCCCAATCGTTCCCCGACTCCTCTCTGTCATTTCGTCTATCAGTAACGTCAATCCAGTGCCTTCAAATCATCGATGGAGCAATTGAAAGGGAAAAAAGGAGAAGACAAGTCCTTAGTCTGAATCGTAGGCCAAAGTACCCTGATAGGATCTCTGAGAAAGAAGAAAGAAAAGGCCTGTAGTGCCCTTTTTGTATATGGAATGCCACACTCAATCCACTGGAGCTCTTTCTCTTTTCTCTTTCTCTTCCCTCAACTCTTCCCCCAAATGTCGCCCTTCCAACTTTGATCGCATTTTATCCTAAAGAGGTTGCCAAGAGAAGAAATTAATTCAATTCACCTAGCTAAACCAAAAAAAATTGGCATAAAAGGTGTGATTGGCTTGGCTTTGCTTTGGGAAGCTCGACTTGGGTTTAGTTTTTACAGTCGTTTTGATTACAAAGCTCACTAGAAACCTTAGATCCAACTTAATTTCTTAGCTAGCTCAGGCTCAGGCTTAAACTTTAAAGCTTTAGTCCTACAAGTAAGAAATTCCAAAGTTATATGGGTCAATTACAAACAAACTCATTACACTAATCACTAACAAAAGAAACTGTCATTAATAACCCACAATCAACTATATGCTTTGAATTTGATTACACAGTGTACTGAAAAGTTATCTAGCAATCATTCCGCTTGAAATCTTGAAGAGGTACGATAAAACTATACCGTGATTTTTTTTAGCCCTAATGTCTGCACTAGCAACAGCGTGCTGCCAATGATTTCACTCTATTCGAAAGCTTGCAGGATTTTCCATCCTTGTGTGCTGGCTGTCTCTGTCTGTCTGTCGTTTGTCCCCCATCGATGCCTTCGATGTGTGTGTAGGAATGCGTTTAGCCCGCGAGTTCAGTCATTTGATTGGAAAAAGGAGAGGAGGAGAAAGGGAAGAGGATCCGCCCGGACACAGCCCTCCCACTCCCCGCTCTCTCAACCTATCCACAACCGATTCCTTTCCCCCATCAAATATCGATTGACTGCCCCTCTCCTTCTTCTTTTAAATCTCGACACCCAATAACTGATAAATCT